TTTGAAGCAACTTTTGTTAAAGTTAAACTCATCATTCTATCAATGTGCAGAAGCCAGTACTTTTCCCTTGTTGTGTCTATCTGAAGGCCAAGCTACATGGCACCGTGGAAGCTGCTGATTGGAGGTCTCCATGCCTCCGCTCTGTATAATACACTTGCATTCTCTTGTATCTGTGATCGTGTGCTTTGTTCGTGCTGTCTCTACCATCGACAATAAAACATGTCTTCTGTCTGAATTAAAGACGCGATCCCAGACTTTGTCATCTTCTTCAGGTGGTGGAAGGATGCGGGCCTTGTCTGTAACATCTACAGAACAGAAGACCTTTTTTTTACACAAAAAGTGTTTTTTTTTCAAGCCGAAACTGAAAAACCTCAAGAGAAACCATGCATCTGGACCAGCACACTTGGACAATCTGCACAGCCCCTGATTCCAGTCAGGCCTGCTGTGAGCTGCTGAGACATGGATAATACCATCGTCCTCTTTTGCAAGGACATAATTTGGAACAATCTGGATTTCTGAATTTGGACATAATTTGGACTGAATTGAATTGCTAAATCTGGACACTGAAGCTGAAACGTGTGATTGAAAGACACGTCACAGAAGAATTCATGGCTCGACACAAATGCAGCCTGAAGAATCAACACGGAGAAGTGGGAGAGACTGTTTTCAAAGCAATATCTGGAACCACCATCGACTGATGAAGTTTGGTATTTTACTGAAGATTGTTGACAAGTTTTATGAAAGATCTGAACATGTTTTATGAGTTTTTGAAGTATTCCGAGTTCTGAGTTTTTTGAAGTACCGAGTGAAGTACAGAGTTTATGAGTTTTTGAAGTATTGAGTTATGATGTTATGTTGCTGTTTATCGATCCTGATGGTCACACGTGAATGTATGACCAGAGGGGGGAATATGAGATTTCATAACACTTTGAAGCAACTTTTGTTAAAGTTAAACTCATCATTCTATCAATGTGCAGAAGCCAGTACTTTTCCCTTGTTGTGTCTATCTGAAGGCCAAGCTACATGGCACCGTGGAAGCTGCTGATTGGAGGTCTCCATGCCTCCGCTCTGTATAATACACTTGCATTCTCTTGTATCTGTGATCGTGTGCTTTGTTCGTGCTGTCTCTACCATCGACAATAAAACATGTCTTCTGTCTGAATTAAAGACGCGATCCCAGACTTTGTCATCTTCTTCAAACTGAACCAAGGATCAGTTGGATCACTCATAATTGAAGCATTTGCCTTTTTTGGGTGCAAAACATGGGTTCTCACAAAATCCATTACAACTCAATTACACAGTCACATTTAGACTAGAGACGGTTTGGTTTAAATACAAGCAAAGCAATGGTCTTATAATGTTATATACGTTTTTTCGCCATTACCCGGCTTGACTTCCGTATAAGCCAAAACAGCTATAGCCCACTTAGTTTGAATCAAAAGATAATTGTGTCCTTTATTAATTTTGAAAGATTTAAAAAAGCCACTTATCCCTCCAACTAATAATCCTTTTGAAGCGTAACAGGCGCAGAGAGGTTTTGAATTAAAGACCTCTTCACATAAAATACATTGTTAATCTGTTGTTGAGCATAAACAAGCAAATCAACAAGGGTATTCCAAAGCCACTTATTTGAGGATTTAAATGAGAGAGTGGGTGGACATATTCTAGGTAAATGGAATTTGGAAATTGGAGGGTTTTTAGACATGAACAAAGTCGAAAAATTATCTCAAAGTAATTGGGCTTCAGTAAATAATACAATTTTAAGGAGAATTAGTTGGGGCAACATTGGAGCGTAGAACACAGTAGTGAAGCCGCAGTTATAGACATGTTTTTGAGAAAGTTGCAGTGTGTTTCCTGTCAAATGAATACATAAATGAGTGATTTCATTCCCTCAAGGTTCACCAAATGAAAGTCAACTGTAGAATTAAAAATGGACGTTGTACATTATGAAAAGTAGTAGTCCCAACACCAATGTAGTATCAGTTAAAGTAGCAATATGTAAGATTTTCAGTCAAGTCATCATTAAATGTCCCAATCTGTCAAAAAGGCATTAATAAACCATGGTTTTTTCCAATACTTCTTTAACTGATAACAGTAGTTCAGCCGAGATATTTGGATTTAAAAATTAGTTGTTATTGTTTTTGTTTCAATGTCCCACCCTCCACCGTTTTACGAATCAGAAAGTCTGGTATCCGGTTTGCCAGAACTCACTGCGTCGAGCTAATCTCACTGGTAAAGTAAAATTTCAGGCTGTAGAATTAAAAAAGGTCTTGTTATGATTCTCAAATCAATGATAAAACAAGGAATAAAACGAGGTAGGGGATGTCTTTGTGAAAAAGGTGTTGGTTATAGATTTGTTGTTGACAAAACTCTTAATTTTCTTTTTGTCTTTTTTTCTGACAAAACTTTTAATGTTTCCAGCTGGATTTGTCTGCATATCTGGCAACCTGAGTCAGGGAGAGTGGGAGAGGTTGCAGTACCACGTTTGGCCAGATTTCTACATACTGCTCCTTTAACAGATGATGCATTGTGTGGTGAAATTTGTTTTGAAATATGTTTTTATTGTAAATGCTGAATGATAATAGTGCATTTTCTCCTTACATGACCTCATCTTGTCTTGTACTCGTAGCCCCACTAAATAAAGATGACATAATTTAATATGGACTTTTCCTATTTATCATTTGGGCTATTTTTTTCTAAGCTTCTGCCCTGACTAACATTTATTATGAAAACCTTTTTTTATCAGAATCAGAATCATTTTTATTTCCACGTAAGTAACAGGAGGTCACAGACTCAGTGCAACAGTCAGAAAGAGATAATAAAAATAAGAATAAAAAATAATTATAAGAGAGAAACTGTCCCCCTGGATTATTTTATTGGAATGAAGTTGTGAGCAATTTTTCCTTCTCCTCTTTAGATTTTTTGTTTTGCCTGAAAGGGAGGCCAACAGTCACTCATACTCAGATCAATGCTCTTACAAACAACCTCTCAACAGAACTTTTGAAAATAGTTCCCGTGGAGGATTTTTTTTTTTTCTTTCTTTAAGCAAAAGATATTGGATTGGCTGATTTGTGACTTGTGTGTCCAATAGATTTCTGAAAAAACAAAAGCATATTCCCACCACAATGTCAACACATAAATCCAGTTTGCGTGATTGTAGATGTCGCAGATGTGTTCTTTGTTTGCTAATTTATTTGCTTTGTTAGATAAGGTTTTTGCTATTGAAATAAAACATCGCTCATTTGAGAAGCAAGGTTAAACATTTGTATCCAGTGATGCTGTTGAGCGAAGAGAAGTTACACATTACAGAAAGTTAAAATGATAAAGATTCTATTCAAAATGATCACAACACAAACTTCTAAAGACATGTCCATTCAACGTTGCATCACATGTGAATCATCTGTAGGTACTTTGTTTGGGAAGTCCCGATCCCATCACGTGACCTAAGTAAGATCTAAGTAAGTTATCTATATTAATATAGCGCATTTTCATAGACCAAGGTCAAACAAAGCGCTTTACACACGGCCCTGAACACACTGGCGCAACGAAGCCTCAGACTTATTTACTCTCGCATTGCCTTCATTCCTATAATCCATGTTTTTAGAGGTATAGGGAAAACCGGAGCGCTCGGTGTAAACCGGATCAGTTACAGAGCGAACATGTAAACTCCACACAGAAAGACCCCGTCTGAGGTGTAATCGAACCCAGGACAAGCACTAACCACTCTGCCACTGTGTGTGGTACTGCCCATACGATGTCTATCCGAGTCTGGCCATACGCTTGAGACTTTACGATATGTGTCTAGATACAGGGGACTTCCAATTTCATACAATGTATTTCTAAACAATACATTATGGTTCAGTAAATTGAAAGTCTTTTGCTATTTTTTCAAATGGTCCGCACCATTTGAGCTAAAATATAGCTAAAAATGTATGTTTACGCATGTATTTCATTTTCATTTAGGGAAGATCAATTGTTATTAAAGTCAAAATATCCCAAAAAAATATATACATATTGAATGAATGAATCAATCAATCGAAATCATAAATTAAAAATAAATAAGCAAACATATTATATCTTTGTACTTGCATTTTTTTTCAATAAATCTGGAAAAATCATAGGAAGAAATCTATATAATATACATCTATATATATTATCATTATAAAAAAATGTTTTTTAGCACTAATACTAATAATGCATTTAGTTTATATTGCACCTTACTTATCAAGGTAACCTCAAAGTACTACATGTTTAAAAATAAGTTGTAATAATACAATAATGTATCGGGAATCAATATCGGCCAACACTCAAAATCAACAAAATCAAAACTCAAGGACTCAAGGGTAATCCATCCTGATTGGGACATCCCTAATACTTGAAGATACTTTACAAATGGCACAAACTTGTCCTGGCTCAACTACAAAGCTTTTTGCATATTACCAGCAAACTGCGAACAATGAGAGCTGCCATGCCGTCATGCTGAAAGGATGCAAGGAGTAAGTCCTGAAAATGTTTTCCATCTTGCGTGATCCCACAGGCACTTTGATTCTGTCAAAATCTGACCTGAAGCAAAGCCATAATATACCACCAATATGTAGTTCATTTTATTTCAATACAAAAGTCTTGTCCAAACCTGTAGCAAAGTTGATATAATTCTCCACAAGAATAAGCATGAGTGGGTTTCCATGGCATCAGTAAAAAATCCCATCAGTAGATCATGCACAATTGGTCAGTCCTCCAAAGTTTCTCCTGATAACTTGCTCCATGAGGTCAAAACAAGAAAAAAAAGTAACGAAAAACAAAAATAGATTCCAAATACTTTTCCATTTGTCCTTATGCACATGTTCTTTGGACTTCCTGTTTGGTTCATTGATGGCTGCGGTGACAGTTATACAGTACCATTATATGTTGGATTGGCGGTCTTGTGGTGATTGCATGATGTCACTTTGGAATGAATGAAATAAATAATAAAAATACAAAAAATACAAAAAAAAATACCATTATAACGCCACTTCCTGCTTGTGCATGCCGTTTGCGGCCGTGGCGAAGGGCGTGGTGGGGGCAGTCTTCTTAATGGACGTGAGCCGGATGTGGGAGGTGCTGCGGAGGTAGCTGGGCTGGCGTTCAGGTCGGGAGCCGCGGCCACATTTCAGCTGACTGCACAGAAAGGGAAAAAGCGCAAAATATACAGTCTATTATTATTTCATAGCAAACCGCATGGACTCTGCTTGAGGAAAGAGTGAGGAATGTGTGCGTTCGACCACCTGCAGGTCTAAGTGGAGATGTAGTTGCTCGGCCAAGACTATCCCCCCACCATAAATCATTCAAGCGTATTTCATTCCCCTAAGAGATAACGCAGTTTCAAGTGTTCTTTTGAATTCTCACAAGCCTCTAATACACCAAAATTGGACTCAAACATAGGCTTTAAAAATCATTTGATGAAATTGAAATAAAGAGGTTATGTGGAGAAGTGGTTGCATCCTGTTGCTTTTTGATAAATCATACTTCATTATAGGTGGTAACTATGGTAATAAGTAAGAAATCTTTATTCATATACCGCCTTTCACAGACCAGAGTCACAAAGCGCTTGACAATTGTACATGTTATTAGTGGTAGGAGAAACCGGAGCACCCGGAAGAAACCGGAGCAGACACAGGGAGAACATGCAAACGCCACTCAGAAAGGCCTTGTTCCGACTGAGATTGGAACCCAGGACCTTCTTGCTGAGAGTGCTGTCCACTCAGCCACCGTGCCGTAATTTTGGCTGATAGATCCTAATGAATATGTGATTGCATACTTTGTGATGAGTGTTGGTAAATAACTAAATACCTGTGCTGAAAGTATATGTTATAATCAGAAAACTCAATTTGAACACCAAGATTCCATTACTTTGTTTTGTTTTTATTGTGTTTTATTGATTTGTTGCCATTCAGGATTGCATCGTAGTTTTTCATCATGCCTTTTATCAGCTTTTATGGGTGATGTTAAATGACAATAGCGACAATGTTAGTGGTGCATGTTGATAAGTTTCACTCGTTTTTAACACACACAAAAAAGATCAACATGTTTTCCGAAAGTGTAGTGTATTCTGATTGGACCATGTAACGTAGTATTCTGCTCTAATATTTGAATGCATGTTTTGAGTCATTTCAAAGTCAAAGTAGTCTCCCTAAACCTGCTGCTGGTGCATGTACTGTATTTCACAAGCACAGCCTGTATATAAAACATGTGTGTATAGTGTATACATTCCCGCGTCATAAATATAGAATGATTGTGACCTGTTGAAGTGGCGTCTGAAGCTCTCGCTCAGCAGGTACAGGGCGAAGGGGTTGACGCAGGAGGAGGAGAAGCTGAGCACTCGGGCCAGCAGCGTGATGACCAGGTGGGCCAGGGACAGGTCCGTTTGGTGGTAGTGGAAGGAGCGGTACATGTACAGCACGTGGTTCGGGAACCAGCACAGAGCGAAAAGTCCCACGAACACCAGCACGATCTTAGCCAGACGCTTCCTGGTCTCCATCTGGAAATGATAAATATACATCCATCACATTTTATCTATAACTTGCTTTTGATTCAAACAATGCAACACAAAGTGCTTTACAGTTTGATAAAGCACAAACAAAACAATCTCACATGCCTCGACCACCCAACAGACCCACCCCAAACCACATGTATTATTAAGTACATACACACAAACACACACAAAATAAAGTTTCTATAGTAATATATCCTAATATTTTGTTTGTTCAATGTCGGACCCCATCTACTTTATAAACTTTGCAAAGCTTCACAATGTCACAAAGATATTCACACAACTTCAATGTATTTCAAATGTGTTCTCTTCAGTTAAATTTATTCTTGTATTCCCTCGAGGGCGGTCAGAGAACCACCAACTCCCTGACTCCAGACCAGGACTGGTCCAGGTCCAGGGCCCCTTTGTCTGGGAAAAAGACAGAGGGGCTTCTCCACCATCCTCTCACCAAAGTCCGTGATATGCTGCTGATTTGATGAACCGGGTCAGACTGGCCTCAGAGAAGCACAGGGACTGGCCTCAGAGAAGCACCTGGTTTTTCCACCTGCAAATTATAGCGAGTGGCCTGTATGATGCTTTGAAATGTTCCAGTTCAATTGTAAAATCATGTTTAGACCAATATCATATATAGAATGATGAACAATGTGCAGTATGTGGATAATGGATTATTAGACGTTTTGCATGTTAGATTTTGAGAACATAAATTAAATATATAATATGTTTTTGCCAATATAGGAAGCTCTAGATTTGCCACTTCTATATATTTTATTCAATTTTTTTTAATAGGTTTAGCAGTCTTTAAAATGGTCAATCTATGTGACATTATATTTGCTTTGCTCCCATTGCTGCTGTTGACCAATCACCAAAGATAAAACCATAAACTAAACACTAAACACAGTAAATATAATATGGATGTTCTAGAGTATCGAGTTAGGCAAAAAATATACTTTATTCAGCTTTCCATTAGGCTATAACAAAGGATCCTTTTTAATTAACAGTCAGGGAGCCGCTGTACGAGGCCCCACATCGAGGTCCAGTGGTGCTGCTGATGACTTCAGTGCTGGGAGAGACGATCAAATCCAAAGAACATCAAAACTCATGGACGGATTTCTTTCTTTTTAAATAGAAGGAATAATAATGTCATCAGCGGTGTTCCGCAGAAGCAGCTGTACATCCCCCGTCTCCCTGCAAAGGTCATGTTTGTCCAAATATGCACTGGTCTGATTCGATAGCACTAATCGACTGGACACAAAGAGCTACACGTCTAACAAGCCCGGCCCGCTCTGCTTTTTCACCCTGCGTGAGGAGAGTGTTTCTTTCCATGTAGATTTCAATCAAATTCACAAAAGACAGAGTATTTTTTCAGCTAAAAGAAACCTATATGTTAAAAGGAAAATTTTGGTTCAATAGTGAAGCACTGTAAATGTTCTATTCTCTGATATCTGAAAAGGATTAAAATGTACATGATTTTTTTATTTAAGAGAGATATGAATGCACTTCAAAATGTCCTGCTATGAACAAAAAACAGAAAGTCTAAAAATTCTAGACCAGGGTAAACCAAAATGGGTATTTATACAACTGTTTAATTCTTTGATATAATCTATATCTCAATTGATTGTTGTGAAGACAACCTTTTGAAAAACAGATGTGTTTGTCGAGAACAGATCTAGACAATCTGTGTTTCAAATGAACTCCTGTTTACTGTTTGTAAATCTCGCACAAAAGCTGAAACCCTCTGATGTCTATAAAATGTTTGTCTGGATTTATGTATACAGTAATTCAGGCAGTTTTAGTAATAAAGCCCACTTTTGAATGAAAACTACTACAAATAATATATCTTTAAGTTCTATTTTATTCAAAGCACAATCTATGGAGCCGACAGGTGTCTCAGGAATGAGAAGTTTAAAATATTCAACTATGTTATGTTACAAGGCTTGTTTATTGAAGATAGCAGAGAGAAGCAAAACCCAACGCCAAAACAAAATGTAAAAATATAAGAAAAAAACAGCAAATGTTTACTCTGAGTTTGCCGAGAGCGAAAGCACAAATCCAAACGTCATAGTGCATCTGATTTAACCTCTGATGTGACCACACTTGTTGCCCGCAGCCGCTCAGCGTCTCATTCCAGTTTCATTGCTGTTTGTCAATAAAGAATCCAGCAGCCTGAGCACTCAAGGCTCTCGCAAAGGCTCATGGGAGCTGGAGCTGACAGACTGCATTAGAATCAATAGAGACCCAACAACACCTGAAGTGACAAAGCACTTTCACATTTAAGAAAAGTGAAAAATCTGACAAAACACGTCTCTGCAGCTTCTGCGTGTTAAATACAGCTCATCCCTGTGTGTTCCTCGTTTAGACCCTCGCTCTGTACGGCTTTACCTTTGAAAGGTAAGATATTCAGGGCTGTACAGGCGAAATGTGAAACCAAAATTTGCTATGTAAATGAAAGTGACATATGCCAAGCCTTTGTTTGTTATAATGTTGTATAGTGTTGTATGGTAGCATTGGCCTTAAGGCCAGAAGGTCGTGGGTTCATTTCCCACCTCTGCACCTTCTCCACCGACTCCCACTGATGACTGCTGTCGTTGTGTCCTTGGGCAAGACACTTAACCCAACTTTGCCCAAAGCCCCCACTGAAAGATCAAGGCTATGCTCACACTCAGAGAGCAGCCGTCCTCCTGTGGACTCACCACCTGCAGAGGGTCAGTGAGGGGCTGGTGCTATGAGACTTGGGTGGCATCTCTGATTGCCACCCCCCTGACCCAGAAATGGATTAAAGGGTAGACAATGGATGGATGGAATGGATTATGGGTGTTAAACTGGATTATAAGTTATTTACAGAATAGACAACAATTTGTACAGTTTGCTGGCAACACATCAGAAAAATTAAAGATTAGCAAGCAAGCAAGCAAGCAAGCAAAGTTTATTTATATAGCACCTTTCTCAGACAGAAGGTCACAAAGTGCTTCACATCAAAAACAAGCAATAATTAAAAACACAAGAAAAAATTACACAATCAAACAACAGTGGAGACAGTCATATCAGCCCATAAAACCGTACTTTCAAAACGCTCGACTGAACAAGAACGTCTTGAGTTGGGATTTAAATGTATCAACAGAGTCAAGTGATCGTAGAGAGAGCGGGAGATCGTTCCAGAGTCTAGGTGCGACAGCCTGGAAGGATCGGTCTCCTCTGGTTCGATAACGAGTGCGAGGAACCATCAAGAGATTTTTATCTACAGACCTCAGAGAACGAGAGGGGACATAGGGCTGAATCAGATCTCTGATGTAAGAAGGCGTCTGACCATATAAGGATCTAAAAGTCAGCACCAAGATTTTAAATTGAAACCGGTAAGACACCGGCAGCCAGTGGAGGGCTTTAAGAATTGGGGTAATATGAGCCCTTCTATTAGTGCAAGTTAAAATCCTCGCTGCAGAGTTTTGAACCATTTGGAGACGAGACAGCTCTTTTTTGTTTAGACACGAAAATAAACTGTTGCAATAGTCTAAACGTGACGACACAAAAGCATGAATAATGAGCTCCAAATCATTACGTGACACAATTTTCCTCAGTTTAGAGATGTTCCTCAACTGAAAGAAACAATTTCTACTAAGCTGTTTAGAGTGGTGATCTAATGACATGTTTTTGTCAAAAATCACACCAAGGTTCCTGAGACTCTGTGCAGCGGACTGGCTGAGATCTCCCAAATACTGGTTTATCCCTGGGATAAGGTCATCAGGAGCAATCACAAGGGTTTCTGTTTTATCAGCATTAAGCTGCAGAGAATTTTTACTTAACCATAGTTTTATATTTTTCAAACAGTTGACTAAAGAGTTCAGCCTTCCCATCTCAGAAGGCTTAAAAGAACAGTACAACTGGATATCGTCAGCAAACAGGTGATAAGAAACATCAGCGAACTCCTGAATGACCTTTCCCAATGGAATTATATAAAGTAGAAATAGAACCGGACCCAAAACAGAGCCCTGCGGAACACCACAGAATAATTTAGCTGAATCAGACATGATTTGATTTGCTGCAACACTAAAACTCCGACCAGATAAGTAAGAGGAAAACCAATTTAGAACTGGCCCTGACAGTCCAACCAAGCCACTCAATCTGTTTAGCATTATGTGGTGGTCGACGGTATCAAACGCTGAGGACAGGTCAAGCAGAACAAGAACAGAGCATTTTCCAGAGTCAGCAGACATCATTATGTCACTGGATACTTTCAACAATGCTGTTTCCGTGGAGTGATGTTTTCGGAAACCAGATTGGAAAGTGTCATGAATGTTATGATGATCCAGGTAGCACGACAATTGTTTTGAGACCACCTTCTCTAAGATCTTGGACAGGAAAGGGAGTTTGGAGATAGGTCTGTAATTTTTTGGGTCCGCTTTGTCCAGATTTGTCCTTTTAAGTAATGGCTCTACTATGGCATGTTTAAATGAAACTGGAAACACGCCACTTGAAAGGGAAAGATTTATCATTTTAGTGACCCAAGGGCCAATTACATCAAGTACTTTTATCAAAAGTCTGCAAGGAAGGACATCAGAAAAACAAGAGGATGGTTTCATCTTTGTGATCAATGTTTCAATCTAAATTAAATGTGGAATTCCCCAAGGTTCCATTATTGGACCAAAACTTTTTATTTTATACATCAATGATTTGTGTGAAGCATCAGACATATTACAATCGGTGCTGTTTGCCGATGACACCAACTTTCTTTTGTCAGGTGACGATATAAAGGATGTGATTAATAATGTAGGAAAAGAAATGATAAAAATAAGCAAATGGTTTAGGGTAAACAAATTATCTCTAAATGTGAACAAAACTAAATTTATGTTATTTACCAAGTGCTATCAAAATAGAAATATTGAGTTGTGTTTAGATGGAATAAACATTGAAAGGGTAGAAGAAATTTGATTCTTGGGTGTGACCCTCGACGAGAATTTAAATTGGAAATCACATGTTGAAAATACACGAAAGAA